CCAAAAACGGTATACTACCGTAAAATTTATGTCCAATACATGTAATGTCCAATACAGTTTTTCACCGTATATAGTAGGGGAATTTACCGTTAACCATTTAACAGGTTTTTACTGTAGCATTTTCACAGTCTTTTACCGTTAAATTCACGGCCATTTTTTACAGTGTACAGTATAAGGCTGCAAATGTGTCCTAACCACGTTCCACCACATTTTACTTTTTTTTTTTTTCCTTCTGGATTCTGAAAATTACTGTTTAGGACACAATGTGAGGCTGACAAGATGCATATTCATTATACACCACAAAAAACACAGTCCACACACTTTAGCACTATTAAAACTAAACTTGTCAAACCTTAGAAGCAGCGATTCTATGATTTCACTCCAGATTATAAACTTTCTATCAGCAGATAAATCACAGTTGTGGGAAGCTCCAAAAATCCTTGTGGTGTAATTTCAATATTTTTAAAGGAAGCCATAAAAGATCCATCCCAGCTGAGGACACAGTTAATGACTAAATCTGAGGGCGGGGATTGTGAAATATCATCTCCAAAAAATAACTGAACTTTTAGAGCAGTGCACAGACCACTGACCAGACCGTCTGCAGTGTGTGTTGATGTTGGCTACAGTGGCTCACAGGACCGTGTGAACTGCCACGATAATGTCTGATTGCTCTGTGTAAATCTGTGTTAAAGGGATAATTCATCCAAAAAAGAAAATTCTGTCATCATTTACTCACTCTCATGCTGTTCCAAACCGTAAGATGATCTTCAGAACACAAATTAAGTTTTTTTTGTTAATGAAAACTGTGATTAACCTTGTAACCAAAACTTTCACATTTCAAAAGGTTCACATAGAGATCCATATGAATCTTTTATTGGAAAAGACATTGATTTGTTATGATATTCATATAGATGGGCAGATTTAATTTATGCTTTTACACGATGATATCCGCTTCATCAACCCTAGAGCTGCTCTGTGCTGGTTGCTGAGGAAATACATCAACTTAGTGCTGTGGATTGCCGGATCGGCTTTCACCGTGGACGAAGCGGAGTCCAGCCAGGAGTCGTCACATGTGGTTGCCGCTCGTTCGTTGAATCCGCCGGCCGCGCCGTTCTCAAGCCCACCGCCTCTGCTCACGCTAGGCCGCCGTGTGTTTCGTTGTGAAAGCGAAACTACTTTGTTTGGTCTTTCAAAAGAGGACACGACTAGAAATCAGTGGTTAAGATGTATTTACAACACTGTTCTAGAACAGTTCAACCCAAATATTCAGATGTGTGCAGCACATTTTATGGAGGACTGTTTCCTGATCCTGGTAGAGTAGACTACAATGCCGTCTGTTCTGACTCACAGACTGTAAGTACGTTTTCATTTAAAGGATTTCCCACTGATGATTCAAACGCGAGTTCTGGGCAGTGTAGAGTAGCGCTTGTTGTTTGTCATTTCTCCGATCACAAATGCAGACATGGTTTTACGTTTACGCGGCGCAATGCAACGCAACGTGTATAAAGACAGTATAAGTCATTATAATCAGTAATTATGTCCCCACTGGATGCAACAAATGCCTAGTTTATAATGGGTTTTCAAGTTTTTGTCTCATCGCTCCGGCCGGACAGGGCATCACAGTATGGTAAGGGGCGTAACATTTCCGTCACACGCTTGAGGTATTCGGCCAATCATAATGCACTAGATAGCTGGCCAATCACAGCACACCTCACTTTTTAGACCGATGAGCTTTGTAACAATCGACGCGTTTCAGAAAGGTGGGGCATAGAGGAGAAACAATAATGTACAGTATGTGGAAAATAATGTGTTTTTCTTACTTTAAACTGCATAAACATTTCATTACACCAAATACACAAAATAATGTTTTTTTAGCAGTATCATATGACCCCTTTAAATTTATGTTAATTCAGCTACGAGGTCATGCTGTGACGTATCGATCTGCTGTTGGTCACACAGTTTCACGTGATACGAATTCGAAGGTCCCAAATCTTAAACCTTGTAATGCAGCGAAATGCGATACTTTTCACATGTTTCCAGTCTGACGCATTCACATATGTATGAATGGAAGTCAATGGAATGAAAACTGCAGTGTGACCGCGGCTTACGAGTCAAGCTCTCCCAAAACAAATCTATAAATCACTCATAGTTGATTTCTGCCCTATTTAATGACAACCATTACATACTACACTCAACTACGAATGCCAGTTACAACAGATGCCAACAACCATAGGATAAAATCTCTTTCACTAGGAACCAGACAGATCTCCCGTTTCCTGCTTCAAGTGTGCCAGAGATGCAGCTTTATCATGTTTCATTTCTACAACATCACCAAACCTGTTCATAAAAGACCAGTCATGTGGGAAGCGTTTGAATCCCCAGTTATGAACCCACATCCACATCAACAATGCAAACACTCTTTAGCTCAACATGTTAAGACCAAGATGAAACACAATGGTGGAAAAATACCTCCCTCAAGCCAGGACAAGACCTGTTTACAAAGTTACACACCTTCATTTCACAATCACAGAGAAATAAGAGATGAAAACAGACGGCAAAAAAAAAGAGTAAGTGTGAGGTGGGTCCTAAAAAGGTTCATCATTCATTAGTCATCCATCAAACAAATCCCTGACCCAGAGTATTAAACTAGCATGTTATACAGACATATAGACTTTAGTCAGGTTAGAAACTATATTGAATTTTATGCAGATGAAAACGAGGCTAAGGGATAGACTTACAGTCTTTACAATGACACGCACTGTATAAAGGTTATAGATCACATGCAATTTTCACAACTTTCGAAACTTCTGGAGTATTTGTCTACTGAAAGTCACATGTGAACAGTCGGTATGTTGTTAAACAACAGTATAATCCATTGAACCATTGTACTTCTATCTCTCATGTTCTCGTTTTCATTCAGAAATTAAATATGCCACCCTGACTAAAGGTCTATGGTGGGATCTTTGCCAATAAACTACGAAAAAAACCACACCCCCAGAACACCTTTGACACCGCATAACATGTTTAAAAAAATAAAATAAAAATAAAAAGGTAGACGCCACATTCAACGTCAACACATCCGCCATCTTGGAACAGTCAGTGTGTTGTCACTCACACTAAAAATCAAAGAGTTTTCCCAGATGCCTCAACACTGCGCAAAATCCAGAAGAAACTGGACATCCTTTCACAGGTGAGAATGTGTTGGTTTGTGTTTTAATATATATATTAACTCAATATTACAGAAAACCACAAGGCAACCACCCAGAACACCCTAGCAACTGCAGTGACAGAAACTACACCCTAGCATTGTGGAGGTGAATTTTGCACCAACAAGCAATTAAATATGCCACCCTGACTAAAGGTCTATGGTGGGATCTTTGCCAATAAACTACGAAAAAAACCACACCCCCAGAACACCTTTGACACCGCATAACATGTTTAAAAAAATAAAATAAAAATAAAAAGGTAGACGCCACATTCAACGTCAACACATCCGCCATCTTGGAACAGTCAGTGTGTTGTCACTCACACTAAAAATCAAAGAGTTTTCCCAGATGCCTCAACACTGCGCAAAATCCAGAAGAAACTGGACATCCTTTCACAGGTGAGAATGTGTTGGTTTGTGTTTTAATATATATATTAACTCCATATTACAGAAAACCACAAGGCAACCACCCAGAACACCCTAGCAACTGCAGTGACAGAAACTACACCCTAGCATTGTGGAGGTGAATTTTGCACAAACAAGCAGCACCACATTTTTTCCAATGAACAGTTTTGATTATTATCTCATGGAGCATGTAGGCTACACATGAAAAGAGAGAGAGAGAGAGAGAGAGATCAAAATGAAGATTGCACACAAGGAAAGGTGATTATCGCTAATGCTCTGTACAGCACACCTGTTTTGAGTGCAGGAGTCTGCAGTGCCGTTCAGATAAGAGGCAGAACTTCCCAGATGCTGGAATGCCCCGGGAACGGGCCACTGCTGGTATTTTGGCAACTTGCTGCCATCTTTGCAGGGCTCTGTTTATTTCTTATTTCTAACAGCCCAATGGAAACAGAAAACCATGTGCAGATCATTACCAGCTAAGGTGTGAAAGACATTCCTGAGCTGAGGAATGCATGAGATGGAAATTATTAACTTAAAATAGATTAAAAGACATTAAGCATCTCAAGGCCTGATCAGCCGCGTGGCAAAGTAGATCAGGACCATATGCCGTGGCTGTCTGCCATAGGACGGGGCCAGAGTCTAGTGGTGTCTGATCACTGCGATTCGGGGACAAAATATTGAGCACTGAATGACAAATTAAATATGATGAGTGAAAAATATTAAGCACATTTTTCCCTTGAAGGACATATTTCGAAGAATGTTGGTAACCAAAAAAGCTTTCATTAAATAATCGCAAAATAAAAAAGTTTATTCCCATATCATAATTTTATTCCATGTTTTAGACTTAGATATGACCCTCACGTGTTCTTCACAGGCTTTGTAAGATTCACCCATAGGCCTTTTTAACTGAAGGCTGCTCTGAGGAGCACTGTCCTATCAGCTTTGCTTGTAAAACACAGATCTATGCCAGCATACTTTTCTGTTCTATTTACTATCCGCATTTCAGGTCAGCGCTCTGTCCCTCACTGAATCACAATGTCAACAATATTTCTAAAAATGTTACCCCTTTTCAACCCCCAAACAAATGTTCTGCAATGAGCCTCTCTCTGTTGCCCAACTGTTGTGAGAGCTTTGACCCCGGGCCTCACAGAGAGCTGGAAATGTCCCCAAAACATCTCCTTTCCAGAGACTGCTCATAAACCTTAAATTGAGCGTTTTTCTAATAATCAAATTCAAAACAAAAGCAGATTTTGCATTCCAATGTGAAATGAGAATTTACAGCTAACTATCATGAAAATGCCATAATGGGAAAAAATAAGCTTCAAAATATGTAAAAAAATTAAAAAATGTATTTAATTGAATGTTATTTTGTCACCGTGATACTGCTTACCCGTATCGGCTCAGTGGAGAACCTGATTTTCCTTCTTGGAGGCTGTTCTTCATCCTCAGACAAACCAGGAACTTCCTCAAACTCCTCATACACCTCAGTTTCATCCTCATCCTCCTCAACCTGCAGGTCCTGAACCAGTTCCTTATCATCCACAAACGCTGCGTTCTCAAAACTATAAAACACCGGAGAAGTTTTCCCACATTCAGCTGGATCTTCCTGCTCGCTGTCCTCATCATTATCTTCATGACAGCTATTCCTCTTTTGTATGATCTCCTCCTCCTCCTCCTCCTCTTCATCCTCTTGATTTGGTTGCTCTTTCTTCAGCTCTGCTGAGAAGCACACATCCTTCTCCAGCCGTTTGTCCTCTGAATGGTTTTGAGGTGATAACACCTTCAGAGAGTCAGCAACATCTTCTATCGGTGCCTCAGATTTAAGTTCCCTTTGTAGCTTCACCTCTGTCATAGCATCCTCCAAAAACTCTTCATCACTCTCCTCGCTTTCTGAAGACTCGTTCTGGACCACTACCAGCTCGGCCCGGACCACTCCTGCACCAGTGGGGTCCAGACATTGTGGGGCCTGCTCACGAGAGATGTCCCTAGACGGACTGCGAATTATGTTGTTTTCACTTTTTGGTTCCTCGGGACTCAGAGGCCGTTTATATAGGCTACTTGCTGAAGATTTGACATCTTTCGCTGGAGTACTACTAAGTTGGGTTGGTTCATTTGTCATGGACTCTCTCACCGAGTCATTTCCTGATGACGGAGACGGCTTAAACGGGCTTTGAGCAGTGGGTGAACGAGGCTCGCCGGTGCTCCTGCTGGTCGGAGAGGTCGGGTTATATGAAATCGGACTGATGGACTTGAACGGAGGGCTGTGGGAGTCTGATTTAGGTGAGAAAGGTTTGGGTGACGTGTCAGAGTTTGGGGATGTGGGTTTGTGTGCTGGATCAGTACCAGGGGAGGTGGGTTTCTGGGGACTCCCTCGTAGAGGGGATGGCAGCGAGCGCTCAGTGGGGCTGCTCGGTTTCTCAGGACTTTCAGCAGAAGCTTGCACTGACTCGTCTTTGTCGCCATCCACAATGAAGTTCTCCAGCCGCCTTGAAATAGGCCCGGCGTTAAGTCTATTGACCAGTTTTGAGTCCTCAACATCCCTGCTTTCCTCTGGGGCACTCCCCACGGGTGACGTCGGGCTTTTGATGACACTACTGCTGCAGTTTTCAGAAGATCCAAAGGACCTCCGGGCCCCACGAATAGAAACTCTGCCGGGCACTGCGGCGGGCTGCTCTTTCATCCCTCTCTCAAAGAGTTTTCTGGTAACTGAAAACTTTTCCGCCAGGGTGACTTTATCGACCTCGACTTCCTCTCCCTTTGGAGTTCTGTCCGCGCTCTGCGGCTCTTGGTTGTTGGCGCTACTGGGGCCGGTTTTGTGAGTGCTGGACACTGGGGATACAGGAGAAGATGCGTCTGTTTTGTGAGCAGGTTCCTGACTCTCAGGCGCTTGCTGGCCGTCCATTTGCAGGAAGATGTTCTTTATTTTGTTGACCCGGTTGCCAAACGGCCTCCCTCTAGTGTCCTCCCGGGGGTCGCTGGCTCCATTAGCATAAGATTTGGCCTCGCTGTCGGATTTGGTGCCATCAAAAGAGCACTTAATGGCGTGGAAGTCCGACTTGTACGCATTTCTATGCGGGGACGCACTCCGCAGGGTGCGTTCACCCTTGCTCTCTGCTCTGATCATTTTCAATGACCTTCAAAATGCTCTAGGTTAAAACTGTGTTTTAGGTCCGTGGTCCTGTCTCCTCAATCGGACAATGGCACGACCCCTTCGGAGTCACTCTGATACATTGTATCGAATCCCCGCGCTCGTCTGAAGAGAAGAGAACAGAAACAATGTAACATTCTCAAGCGAAGCGGGCGATCGCCGTTTTAACGCGATCTGAAAGCACTAGCACGTAAAACGTTAACTTCGCCGTTCTTTTGTTAGCAGATCAAATCTGACTCATCCGCTTGATCAAAGAAACTTTATCAACTCGGATCAAAACTTTCCAGCAGTGATTTGCAGGCAGATCCCCTCGACTCAGAGCTCAATATCTGACGGCGTCTTTAAGATACTGTTCAACAATTCAAAACTAGATGAAATAATGTTCTTCAAATGATCAAGAACTACCGCGATCGGTGTTAAACCTGCCCACAAACCCACTAAAGCTGCTCCAGTGGGACTCGCCGCGGAACAATAGCTCAGCAACAAATGATCCAAATAAAGTTTCGGAAACCGAGTTACAAACAAGTAGCCTACAGCTTCTGCAACAATCAAGTCACCTCCTCCTCTCACCTCCGCGGGTATCTCACTGTCCACGGGCGCCGGTTCCTCTGCTCTGTGTGATTCAGATCCCCAACCATGTCATTTGTTTCACCGCCATGGGTCTCCGCCGAAGTGCTGTCCGATTCGTTCATTTGAGTCGGTTCAATGATTCGGTTTAAACGATTCACTGAGGGAAACCCTTTTAAGAGAGTGAACAAATAAACAGGCAACATTTGGCACTCTTTTCGAGCAGGTAGAGAAACGTATCTGGACCATTAAATCTAAAAAGGGTATCAGACAGAATGACAAAATCAAACTAGAACACATAAATAAGTAGGCAGTTTAGTTAATTATTTTATTTATTTTGTTTTGAGAATGAACATGAGACTTTTTATACCGTTTGGATTTTATATATGACCAAATTATTATTTAAAGAGCTACGGGAACTTCTGGGAACACTGTTGAGCGCGATAACTGATGAATCGTTTATTAGCTGGCTGAAACGAACAGTCCAAACGAATCGGTTCACCAAAAGAATCGAACTTCCCTACGCATCTCCAATGGCTCTCTTTCATATTGAACAACACACCCATTTCAGACCTGTCGCTCACGAGCACATTCCAGGGCTGCTATTAATCCCAGCCCCCTTCCTGACTCTGAATGTGCTACTATGGCGAAGGTGTGGCTCATGAATATTAATTAGGTCACGGTGACGTTACTAGGAACCCTGCTATTAATTAGACAAACCTTCGCAGTAGTATGGTTTATTTCGTTTCCAGACTGCACGGTTGATTCAGCCCAGGTAAGGATAAAATTAAATTAAATAAACCCTAACACATGAGTATGTTCTACCCCTCAGATGACAGAGATCACTGAGTTAAAAGAAACTATGGTTAAACAACAACAACAACAGCTTAATGAACTTTCTGAACGTTTTATGTCCTTGCAACAGCGTAATTCATCTTCTCGTAATGGCCCAGTAGTGTGTAGGCCACGCCAACAACCAGGCCATTTTGCCAGTACTTGTGCTAATGAGCACGTTGTTTCTCAGGTTCAGCACCACCAGCCCCATCATTAGCCTCGTCCCCCACAGACCTTGTGTCCTTCTGGTCAGCCGACGGAAAACTAGCACCCTCTGTTTTGCAGAGCCACAGAGCAGGAGGGGATACTATTGGCTCAAGTGCACCAAAGCCTGACTACGCCACCCTGCACACAATTTAGTAATAAAAAAGAAACAGAAGACAAAAAAGGTGCGAAATCAAACAGTGCACAAGGCAAATTCAAACTTAGGCTATTATAACCACTTTTTAAAAACGTCCTTTTAAATCTCCTCGTGTCCCGCGGCCATTCTCTTCTGCGGGTCGGAAATGTCTGGTTCACCATTTCACCTTAGTGGACAGAGTACGGGCACATCGCGTCTCCAGCGTGGCCCTTTAAGCAGTGCGGGTGGGAACAGGGACTATAGGGCACCTGGGGCTGCAGTCTCTCAAGTCCCTGGGTCTAGTAATATCATGGCATTAGCCGTTTTTAGACCCTGGGTTTAAGACCACCCACCTCTTTTACTTTTCCTTGTTATAGTCGGGGCGCCAATACAAAGTTGGGGGAAGATGTAGTGAGGTCCCTTGTAAGACCGTAAGTTCCTTTAAGAAAGTGACATTTGTGTGTGTGTGTGTTTTTGGTACTTTCTTTTTTTTTTTTACCGGGTCAATAGCGTGGGCTCACACCGGTGGCCGGTCAGTCCTCCTCGAGTGCCCGCTTATGTTTCATTTGTTTCTTTATTTAGTTTTTTGGTTGTTGGTGTTCCCTCTTTTAAGAGTGTACCTTGTTGTGTTTTAATCAAATAAGGAATAAAGTTTTACAAGTGATTGTGATATTTTGTCAATAATAAATTGTAAGCTTTGTTATATTGTTATTCCTTTTATTGGGTTGGTCCACACGGATCTGTGCGTATAACTTAACCTAACATTCCCTGAAGAGAACAAGATTCAGGGTGGCCTAGTCAGGCTATGGTTGATTTGGCTTAGTAATTGCCCATAGACCTTATGCTGCCCTCACGCTACATTAATGTAAAAATGTATTTAAATTAATGTGAAATTTAATTCAGTTAAATTAAAAAAATTTTTATTTAATATAATTTAAATGCAGTTTATTTCCATTGTATCTTGATTTAATTGTTTTAATTCTTCAATTATTTTTCCATTTATGAATTATTAATATTTGTTACTTAATGTTTGATTAATTAATTGAAATCATTAATGACCTTTCTATGATGAGCCATTAATTAAAATAAAGACGTAGGCTCTGAAGGCTGAACATGAAGCATTGAACCACATGAGTAATAATGGAGGTGAACAGATTTTCAAGTTCAAGAATCTGTAATTGAAACCCCTAATTGATTGGCCACTAATCTGAATATTTGTCATCCTTCGGTGATTACAGCACTGAATATTACAAAAGTTATAGGTCAGAGTTCAGATTGCAATGAGAATGCTTGCTGTTGTCACTATGATTTGTTTATCTCAACTTGTGCTGTAATAAACATTTATCTTACTGAAAAGAAACATGGGTACAGTTCAGTCTCTGAATACAAAGCATGTGTGTTTCGGTGTGATGTGGCAGTTGGAAACCCCGTCTCATGTTCCAGCTCAGTTCACAGATGTCTGTCTGATGTTTCCTTCAGTTCTTATGTCTGGCAGTGTGTGTGTGTGTGTGTGTGTGTCACTAATGTGCCTGCTTCAGTCAGACCAGAATATGTTACAGGGTTAATACAATTTTTTGTTTTTGTTTTGGTGCAGCTTTCACATGAAAGTTATATAAAGGTATACATATACACCCCAACCTGTTTTAAACCCTGAATCTCATCATTACTGTTAAATGTACTTTCAGTCCACATTTGATTTTAAACACAGGGTCTTTGTAATGTGTTATGAAAACATTTGGTTTAATCACCTAAACTCAAGAGTATGATCGTCTTTCAATGTAGTAACAATCAAATCATTCCGTAGCAAACAATGCAAGAAACATGTTTCAAATCAGCCTTGCTGCTGAATTAAAGTTGTTACAGTAATACAGGCTACAGTTGCCCCATTGGAGAATACACTTACATTACCTTACCTTATAATAAAGGTGCTTCACGATGCCATAGAAGGACCTTTTTGTCTAAATGGCTCCATAAAGAACCTTCAACATCTGAAGAACCTTTCTGTTTCACAAAAGGTTATTTGTGGTGAAAGAAGGTTCTTCAGATTACAAAAAGGTAAGAAAGAGATGGTTCTTTAAAGAACCTTTGACTGAATGGCTCTTTGTGGAACCAAAATTGGTTCTTCTACACTGTAAAAAAAAAAATCCGTAAAATTTACGGAATTTTACCGTTAAAAATACGGTAGCAACGTTTTAGGTTTTACGGTTTTAACTTAAATTTACAGTTAAATACCGTAATTTCATTAACTGATATAATGTTAATATACCAACCTATTGAAGTACTGAAATCTGTTTTGCACCTTTGTAATACACTGATAACCACCAAATGCAGGAGGTGATGAGAAAGTCACATGATGAACCAAAGCCCATCACAAGCAGCTTTTAAATACTAACATATATAGAAGGTGCACAGTGTCATTCACACAAACACTAAACAGCATCACGGTAACACACATGAAACTGAAATAATGCAATAAACATTCATTTAACAACGTTAGGTGTAACACACAACCCTAATATACAAAACTGATAAGAACAAACTAAGAAGAAACATAGTTATTTCGACAAAAAAAACCATCAAATTTGAAATGTAATGCAGGTAATTCTGGGAATGTCAATTTATGGTTATTCACTGTAAATTATACGGTATTTTTCACTTCCAAAAACGGTATACTACCATAAAATTTTTTTCCAATACATGTAATGTCTAATACAGTTTTTCACCGTATATAGTAGGGGAATTTACCGTTAACCATTTAACAGGTTTTTACTGTAGCATTTTCACAGTCTTTTACCGTTAAATTCACGGTCATTTTTTACAGTGCAGGGAATAAATAATGAAAGGGGGAAGTAAACCGGAAAACCTGAAAATCATATGATGAAAAATCTACACTAGAGACCATGACCATTTTTCTTATACAAAACTACTGCTATACACAATTGAGTTTTCCTCATATAACTTGGCAGGTAATGTAGAGGTTTGGTGGTCCATTTGACCTCAAGTGAATTCTTTTCTGTAGTTTTTCCCTGAAGTGTTGCATATACATTGTCTAACATTCAGTTTAATCAGAAAGGAGCTCAGCAAGATCTCAAGTGTTTTTAAAAGGAGCATGTTTCCTTGACTTACTGATAGTAGTAGAGCTCTGCCTCTGGTTTAGGGTTTGTTTAGAAGGGCAGAGTTGATGACGTGTGTCAAGGGCTGTCGGATTCCTGGCATTTCCTGCTCCCTCGTTCCAGTTATCTGATGAGCAGACAGGCCCTCCACCCTCCTCCGCATTTAACAAGATCAACAGAATGATTATTTACATCCTCAGACACTGACTCTTATTTTATGAATGGCCTCATAACACCGGTGACACTTTAAGCCTGCTATGATCATTTATAGTATATTAGTAGTACATTAGACTAGGCTGATACTCACACACACATTGCTTTAGCATGCTAAAGTTAATGTGATGTGCTCAGACAACATGCAACCAGGACTTGTCAGTGGGTCTTGGTGTAGAAAGATAGATCTGCTCTGATATGGTTGATCGCAGGAGATCATGGATATACCTCAGATTCATCCACGCAGAAGAACTACTGACATTAAAAAAATAAACAACTCCGCAAGTCGAGTCGAGTCACATTTATTTATATAGGGCTTTATACAATACAGAAAGCAGCATCACAAAGATAGAGCTAGAATTTTTAGCAAAGCAGCTCTACAAAATATAACAGTACCATTTTTCAGCTCAGTGTAGTTGAATGCTGATTCAGTTCATCGTCAAGAGGAAGATGAAAAGTTTGATAGTATTAGAGGCAGTTACTGTGAATGAAATGTTTACGCGGATGAAACACTTTTTTTGTAGTGCGAAAAGGATACTTTGTGATTTGATGTTTTGTATTAATGCAATCAAAAACACACTGACATGTTTTAAAAAAGTGTATTTTTGATGAT